TTGAATGATTGGTGCATTTGCCAATGAATCTAAATGTGAAGCAATGTTACAAGTACACGAAATCGGTTACAACTTAGATCTTGGCATTCATCAAGTCTATATAGCATCCTTAGTTGTGGGTCTCCCACACTATATAATTTTGCATTAATAAAACTTGAGAGTGCAGATAAGAGTAGAGGTTAAAGATATGAAAATTTCTATTTTTAGGAATGAGTCATTCCCTATATTCTCTCGGATTCTTGACTTCCACATTGATGATACTTGGTCCTAGACACCACTATAGGCCAGGCCACATTGCAAGGATTAGGATGGAGTGGGTAACGATAGCAAATAGTTTTTAATAATGAACAATTGTAAAAGCTTAATTGTTTATGGGATTTAAGAACTTATTTGTATTTTATTTCATAAATTTTTGTTGAGATTTATTGAAATTCTATATGTCTATTATGAAGAATTGTGAAGTATTAGTGATGGATCAATGATCAATAATGATAATATAAAAAATAAATTAGCAAGAGATTTAGATTAGTATTAGCGATGACCTTAGCGATGGATTAGCTACACAACAGCGATGGATTGCTTTATGTTATCAACCAATTTGGGACAGATTAGAGAACAATAACAATTAAGTAAAGAATTAAAGTAATGATGGATTTAGCATGGGATTAGCGATTACTTTAGGAACGGATTAGCTATGCAAAGGTGACAGATTACTTGAATGTCAAGAACTTCTTAGCTACAAAATAATGAGGGATAGTAAAGATAGCTAACAACAGATATAGTGAGGAAATTTGTATAGAAATATTCGTTGACAAATGGCAATATCTAAGTGATGGAAAGAAAACCATCGCCATTTTAGCATGTATTTATTCAAATATGAAAATAACGATGGAATTGCATAGGAATATTTTGTCAAAAATTACTGATGACTTAACAAAAAAAATTATCTGTCAATAATTTTTGACAACTTATTCAACGGAATTATTTGTCACTCAATTGTCACAAGTCTGCTACTAATTGCTTATTTGACAGATCAATGATGGATGGACAACAAATTCATCTATTGCTAATTGCCATTTTCCTTGTAGTGATTAACAATTATATATCATATAATTGCATTACTTAGTAGTTAATTTTTCATGTATATCTTGTAAAAATAATTTTTTGTAAATTATATTTTAACTTGAAATCATTATCTTCATCGATTATGATTATTTGGGAGATTGTTTATATATAGCTGCAAATTCTGTAAAATATAGTCTATGTAGATGGTAGTAGTGAGCATTACCTTTGAGAAATGTTTTTATCAAGTTATAATTATTGGAATATTTTTTAAACTTTCTCAAATATTTCAACTTCAATTTTAGAGAAAACAAGAAGAAGAAAACAAAGAAAAATAATCTGTGGGCACAATAAGGTGGGAAAATGGTGATAGGAGGAGCAGTTTGTCGTGGGAAACTACTGTTTTGAAACAAGAAAAACAAAGAAGGACAGCAAAGAAATTCAATTCCATCACTTTGAAGCAGGCAAGGCATGCAGTCGACAGGCCTACGTTGTTAGGTGATTACTGACTAATCACAATTAAGTCAGCGTTTTCGAGTTAATAAATGTCACAAAATAAACTAAGCTTTTATTTTTTTATTTTTATTAATAAAATGAGCTTCACCGGGGCATTTTTAGCCATGGTTTTTCGTGCTAAGCTGCTAGAAATGGCTTCTGAAGCACTTCAGAAGTTGGAAGTGAAAGGGAAATTCCATGTTGGGGAATATATAATATGATCACGAGTCCTGCATCTATTACTAGAGACATCCCTCTAGTAATAAAGTGGGAATGGTGCCAAAACAAACTAGGTTGTCCAAATTGTTGGTGTCTCCTAATAGAATTGAGCCAATCACTTTGCTGCATCTAAACTTAACAAGAACTTTAAGTGTTTGAGTGGGAAAAAAAAATTATGACATCTGATTTCATATCAAAATTTGATTATGATATAATATATATATATATATATATATTCAGGAGTTACCGTTGATTTTAAATTTTTGTAGACCAATAATTTGAGTCTAGCAAGTTTTCAAAGGCAATGAAATTGGAATTATTAAACAATCATAGGAAGATTGCATGGATAATTCGCAAAGCATTAACACGATTTTATAAACAAGATAATTTTGAGAATGTTGTTGTGAAGACCTTACACCAACAGCTAAAGCAAGTTGGCTGAGACGTCACAGGGTGTGAAGGTATAGCTTATAAATGCAAGCACCATCTTCTCAACAGAAAAGTTAGAATCGGTTGGTGGGTGGACTCATAATCTAGAGCAACTACCATTTTGGTGACACCTAGAAGCATTCTCAACCTCCCATGGATTCCTTCTTCAATGGATATCCGTTCTGAGCAAACAAAGGGAAAAGAATTGGTCATCCTTCCAGTATTTTTCTTTCCTTCCTTCTTTCCTTTTTTCCCTTTTCTTCTAACTCTGTGCAAATCATTAACATCTACCTATCTCCAAAGAAAGGAATAGAGGGTGCAACAATTCCAACCCCTTGGTTCTCTACCAATTTAAATACCTTTTCTTGTTGAAAACAACTCAAATTTTTATCACATTAAATTTGGAAATTGGATCGCCAACAATGGTAGAGTTAGGATTTTAAAGATAGTGGGGGCATCATAAGTAAATACTAGTTATTAGAATGGGTGGATCAATGATTTTTAGGAGTACGGGGACATTTTATAATAACCCACTATTATATTGAATGTACTTGAAAATTTTTGAGGGGTCATGTTCTCATGATTATAAGGATAACGAAAGCATCAAAGTAGTTACTAAAAATTAAAATGTGTGTCTAAGATTTTTAAGATTGCGGGAGTATTTTATAATAACTCACTGCTATATCAAATGTTCTTGGAAAATTTTCAATGTAGCTCAGCTCTTGATGGCCAATATCTCTCCACATACGTGAGACTTTTTAAATGGGATAATTGATAAATTATGAAATATTTCTTTTTTCTTTTTCTTTTTTTTTTGGTTGGCATGAGGAGGGGAAGATTACTTGCCAATCTTTTTTATGGTTATGAGATTAAAATGGTCTTAGAAGTTAGGCTTTTGAACGAAGACGTGACATGGAGCCACGTAACATTGGGCATTAAGTAGAGTTAAAAAAGAGAATATTGGGCGGGATTTAGAGTTGGAAAAAGAAAAACATAATTATTATACAGTATTTGGGAGCAACATCTATGTCATTTTTGTTGGGCAGTGTAATTAAAGTGTCCATTAAACTTAAGGTTTTGAATTTTGCCTCACCCCCTCTTCGTCTCCTACCAGCAGATGAGAAAACCAAAAAAAAAAAAAAAAAAAAAAAAAAAAAGAAACAAAATGAGTAGCTGGTTGTCCAAGTCTTCTAAATTTAGAAATCTATACGTTAAAATAAGTCAAATTGAAAACGGTAGGATCAGCTTGATATCAAATTCTATAACTTGGTTTATAAACTATAATCTCATTCATCAACGTGTTAATCTTGATCTTTATAAGATAAATTACTGTAAATAACTTTGAACCCAATTATTAAAAAGCAAAAACTATTATTTTGTCCTTAAGCTTTTAAGGGAGCATTGTTCATCGTTAAGCCAAATAAGCCCCGAAGTAAGAAAATATTGGGCCCTTAGTTTCTCATACTTTATAAACCTTTAAATCTATTTATGTATATTATATAAACAAACTCCAACAAACATATTTGAATTGTCAGAAATCTTGCACACCCAAAGAATTGTTATTATTATTATTATGGTCAATTCAGTGCCATGTTCAAATTATTTGAACATGTCAGAAATGTGACTTGTTCAAATTATAAATCTAATGCTAAGATGAATTAACCAGTAGTTGAATCTCACTTATTACAAATTATTACAACTTTGGCCAATACCATCTCTTATTGCCCTCCTTTATTATGCAATTTATATCATGACAGCATGATAAAATGGAAAAAAGAAAGCAAGCACAGCCTCTATTATAACAGTGTTTCAAGTAAATTCGTATTCTTTCATCTTGAAACAGATCATGTTTCTTTATTTTAATCAATGTTAACCATTAGTTTTATCACGAATATTTTAAATATTTTAAATTATCAAACCAAACATTTAAATTTTAATTTATTTTCCTAAAAAAAAAAAGAACTTCCTAGATTTCAGATCATTTCTATCCCCTTCGTTTTCACCTTTAAAGTGGAGCTACTCCTCACCAAGTCCTTCAGTGCTCGTTATAACATTGTCTGAAAGTACCATGGGTCATTGTCTTACCTCAAAAAGGCTGCTATACCAGCTAATTCTGGATAACTCTTCCTCTGCCAGTGGCTTACAAGGGGAAGTTCATGACCATCCAACAATATATATATAGTCAAAGGTACAACACTTCCAAACAGTATCAAAAGAGCACATTGAGTGAATAGGCCCTTGATATGCCTGCATTGTAAGATGGTGATCGACCACAAAGAGTGAGCATTTACATCTGCCAAGTGTTTCATTTAAGAATTTCTCATAAAGAAATGTAGAAGTAATTCACAAGCTAATAAACATGTCAGATTAGTAAATTACAGTTAACTGAAAATAACTGTGCAGTTAACAGACCAAAGTATGTGCCTGTTTATGCCACTATAGCACAAACAATAAGAATTTTTTCAATTAAATATGATATCAGGTTCCGCTTTATTACCCTGTGGTAAGAATTTGCTTCCTTTCAACACAGTTAAAGACAACAGTACGTAGACGTAGAACAAAACATCTGGGGAATTTGTCATGCCACAAGTTCCACTCAGAACATATGAAAACATAATCAGCTGACATGTATAGCCCCTGTTTGTTACAGAAAAAATTTCATTAGCCTTTGGATAAGGACTTGAGGGTATCAAGTTTTTTAGCAAGACTATGATTGAATGCATTTTACAAATGGAAGCATCATGAACCTAATATACACGATTTACAGCTTCAAATCAGCCTAGTTTCCATTGTTGTCAGCTTTCCTGAATCAAGTTAGTTGGCTCACTCAGAACATACTTTGGCAACTCGTACTTGGCGCCTGCAATAAAATGTTGATTAGGGGATGACAACTCTTATGATAGACATGTAGCAGTTGCAAATAAAACACTCACCTCTCTCATCATAGCAAACTGTCAAGTCTGGGGCTTGAACAATGACACCAGCACTGTCCACAATTGCTTGTGCAAGATTTATGTCAGCCTCTGCAGCGGCTCGGAGTGCATCCCAAATCTCTGATAAGAGTACAAAATATTTGTGCACTTAATTCTTATTCTGCAGTAGCAAGTGCAACCCAAAATTCTTTATAGCATTAGATCCTTCTTGCTCTTTCTCTATGGCTAACATGATTCTTCTTAAATTCAGGATTCCAAATGTGACTATTAGAGGTGCAAGCTAGACAGATTGGATTAAGGTTTTTCAAACCCAAGCCAAATTACTTTAGAAGTGCTCAAACCCAACCCAACTTAGCTCAAGTTAAACCAGGTGGGTTGGTTTGGGTTTGGACAACCCCTAATTATTTGGGCTTGGTTTGGACATGCTTCAACCGTGTCCAACCCGTCCAAGTTGCTGCCCCAGTGACTATAGTTCCATGCAGCATTAATATCAAACCACAGATTTGAACTTGCTGGTGCATAAGCAACAGATTCCAACTTGTTCTCACACCAAAAGATAATAATAAAATTGCAGGCAAAAAGGAATGAATAAGGTCCTGTTCCACCCCAAAACCAAATAATGCAAAAAGGTACTGCTCTTCCCCCAAAAGTAATATATCAAAGCACAATATTTTGCTTTTTGAATCATTTGCTAGATTTTGCACAAAAACAATGATAAGCAAGAAATAGATGGGTGAATGGCTGACAATCTGTGCTAGATCTCAAAAAGTTATAAAATTAACAGGGACACACCCATTTATCAAGAATAAACATGAGACCAACAAGATAGACACAGGACACATACCATCTTCTAGGGAAGTTAAATAACGATTTCTATTTTGAATCATCATGAATCTTTTTTATTTTTTAATTTGCAAATCAATATCAAAAGTCTAGAGATGGCGGACGAGAAGTAGAAAGTGAGGGAGAAAATAGCCTCATAGAGAAGAAAAGGAAGGGAAGAATGCTACCCTCCCCAAGGGATCACCTACACCAACAAGCCCGAACAATTCACTTGAAACGTATTATGCAATGAGAATTGCATAGCCCTTTGTAGACCAGAAACCATCATAAATCTATTTCAACATTTGGCAAAAAACTTACTCCTAAATGACAAAATAAATCCTATTTCCAGCATGATAAGTTATAACCTTACTATGAAACCAAAATTTTCCAAACTTGTCCAAAGAATTTTGCAATATAAATAAAGTCCAAGAAAATCAAAAGTAGACAAAATACTAAAGCCACTGAATTCACAAATTATTGATCATTCCATGACAAGCATTCTATAACACCCAGTAGTCTATCTCAAGTCCATGTGACAATTAAAAGTGAATAGATACCACTAAATGGAAAAAAAGCATTTTGTAAGAGACAACCCTTCACCCTTATTGATCTACTGCCAGGAGAATTAGCTAATGCAGAAATCAATGCACAAACAAAAGTCAACAGACTATAAAATCCTAGCTTTCTACATTGCTACAGTTTAGTGAAGTGAAAGATACTTAAACATATGTCCAAAACTCACTAACTTCAAATTTACAACTGTGGGTTCTTAATATTTATATGCAAAGTATAAAGTTGAGCGTTCAAATGGTCAAATGATCCGGTAATACTGAATCATGAAAGTAACAATGCCTAATACCAATATCTGATACAGCAAAAGTAAATTACAATCTGAAAAGAAAATTGAGGAAAATATTGCAAAAGAAAAGAATACTAAATAAAAATATAAATTCTCAATCTTCAACTATTTTGCTCATCTTTCTTCATTATTCTTCTTCTATTTTAGTTTCTAGAGATCTTTTTTCCATTTATTCACAGATCACTAGAATTTTTCATCAATTGAAGATAATCGTGGAACCAATGACACTTCTTGTTACTTTGCTCTTTCTATCCTTTCACGTACATATATTTTTAAATGTAGAATAGAGATTCTAATATAAACTAGAACCAAAATCAGTAGTTGAGGAATTGAAATCAATGAGTTTCTGGGGGTCCTACGGGGGTCTGGACTGGTATCAAGATTGTGTTACCACATGGGGGTCCTCCAAATCACATTACCAAATGTATTCCACCTCCATTGTTGTGCTGTGTTCTTGTGAATAAGTGGTGACAAGGTCTCAATCAGCAGCAATAACTTGCAGTGAATATGGAACTTTCTCACAGGAATTGTTTTTCCAGGCAACAAATGTTTTACTAGAGGCAGTAGTAAGTCAAGTTAAAAATGACATTTCCTCTGTATAAGGTGGCTAGAAGAGTGAGCTTTTCATTAAGTGATTGGATGAATAAGTTTGGATTCTCTTGCAGAAGGGTTGTTTTGGGTTTTAAGTATGGTGGGTTCAGTTTGAGCAAATCTCAATGAAGATGTGTAGGCTTCCAGCTCAATGATCAGCACATATGAAACAGAACTGGGTGGTAACTTGCTGTGACACTGACCATTTCTGAACAAAAAAGGACTCAAAATGAGAAATATAACAAGGAGAAAATGGCCCTACCCTGTGGGAAGTCCAGTCTTGCTTGATTGCAGGAAAAAAAAGGCTTGGCAGAAAACCTATCATGCCCAGTTAAAATTCTAACAGTACCAAGTGCATGAGCACTCATAAAACCTTTTTATTTCTTAATAGGAAGTGTAGAAAGTATAGTATTTTAGAAGGGCTCATATAAGAGGGTTAAAATATACAAAACTTCATGACTGCACACAGGGAGACTGTTTCACTGCTTTGAATATGGTGTCTGTGCCAAATGTTGCAAATATAAAACAAGTTTAATAGAAATGCAGATAAGATAGTTGTTTTTATCAAGCCTAAGAATAAGAAGCCAAGATAATTTTTGAACAACACCTCTTCGGCCACCATAGTGTGGAGCAGTGTCCCAAAATTCTTCACGCATCTGTACAAGCTGAGCTCTAGTTATTGATTCCGTATGCTTCCAAGGCTTTGGCTTTCTTATTTTTTTAATACTTCCTGCAGTCATCAATATAAAACTTATTTTAAAAAATGCATGTTGATTTACAACAACAACCAGCGAGCAGTCCTGGAAGTCGGGCTAAATCTATGGTTGAAAATCGATAATCAAATTAAATAATCAAACACATACCACAAGATTTGTAACACCCCTCCCCCATCAAGTTGACACAAACATATTAATTAAAACATCAAGGGAATTATTAATCACTCTGCTAAAGTAGTTCATATAAATAATTTTAAGTACAAGAAGCATTATGTGCTTTTCAGATTTTGATTCAATGATTCATCCCCTTGTTAATTTGATCTGCCTCACTGACCAATTTGCAATTCTGCACATGCCTTATTGCCTCTGCCTCTACTTCTGCTGTTCAATTTATATTTCAGGAGACAAAACCCATGGAAGAGACATAAAACAAAGTACACTGTCCACCATTTGACAACAAAGTATCACGTGGCTACCAAATTGAAAAGCAAAACATTTGTAAACTAGAATCTTCTAAAGGAAAATTAATAAGTCACCCTTCAGGTTACTAGAACACCAGGCCATATAGCAGTTTCAAATCACGAAAGAGTTATTGCTGCAGTTTCTTCTCAAAAATGGATGTTTCAAATTTAACCTAATTCATACAAGATCAGAATTAGGCCTGCCAAAAGATCATAACTAGACAATATAAGAAAAAGAATAGAACACCCAGAGAAGGAGAACCAGGCCCAACTTGTTTTATAAAAGTACAAAATAAGTTTTATATACAACAGAAGTTAAGCATACATTTTAAATGAAAGCATCGGAACATTTCATAGGATGGTCAAAGCAACAAAACAGCAGAGGATTAAGTCTAGAGGCACTTTTGCTATTTCATGGTAAAAAAGGCATAAAAGAAGTAAGGTGATCTTCACATATTCACAATACTGGTCTCCAGGGAGTGACAACCCATACTATATGCCACCAGTTGGAGGTACTGCTGCAAAAGCAATCAAACTTGTTCTGAAATAAGTAAATGCCTTTAAAAGAGAAATCAAAGTCATGATTCCAGAGAAATATTAAGTTTCAACTATCACATGTTACAAGTCTCCTACTTTCTAGACATATTTCTGAACACATTTTTTTTTAACATCCAACATATTTCTTTTCTTTCATAATTCAATCCAAGGTGTATTTTAACTTTTTTCTTCTTAGCAAAGAAATGCTATCTCGGATTTAAACCAAGAATTGAAATGTTGCCTCATTTTCAATAACTAGGAAAAAGAATACATAAACATAATGTTCCCCCATCTACTAATATTATAAATGAAGAACCATGTGAATCCGGTTCAATTAATTCGCTTGCTCAGTAATTGTCAGGAGAAGATTTCAACACTGATTAATTCATTGGTGTCAAAGTGACTATGTTATGGATAGCATGGATCACAAAATAAGGAAGTCAATGGTGCCAAAATGGGAAGGAAGACAAATAATGATTTTATTCCTAATTAGAGGAGTCAATTTTAGCAAGTATTTTCATTGCAATTTAAGTCCTTAATTTTATTCCTTAATTTAGTTTTTTTTTTTTTTTTTGCAAAAATAATTTCCTTTGTAATCTCTATTTAAGAGAACAATGAGAAGAGAATAAAACAAGCAGAATTTCCATCCAAATTTATAGAGGTTTAAGGCTCTTTCTAACGAGTCTAAGGTTAGGAGCTCCCTTCAACGAGTTCCATATATATATATATATATATATATAATCATAGGTTCTTCACGAGGCAAGAATTGTAACAAGGAAAAGGATGCATCCCTCGAAGCAGATTTTCTTGTGCATCGCCCTGTGACTCGATCCGTGACACGGGAACATAACAGACTATCTAGCATTCACTGTTTGAGAAACAACAATAATTGGTCTTTAACTTCTAAACTACTTTAACGGGGAATAAAGCCTAAAAAAAGTTTCTCTAATGTTGTCTCTTTTCTAAATGATTGGACACTCATTCTACAAAACTAACAAAATAATCCCTAAGATGATTTGATAACATTGTAAAATTCCTTGATTAATCAAGTTTCAGTGACAAATGGTTTGGCCTACATTGGATTCAAAAAATTTACGAAATATAACATCATATGCTGAACTTGTGTTTTTGACAGATACAATTGATTTTGCTAATAAAAGGCATCATTGACATAAAATTATTATGTCAACAAACAGCTGAACATATAATAACAAGACCTCCTGCTTAAAAAGAAATTTTAATTTGTTAATATTTTAAGAAACTGAACAGATTATAAAGACTGTCTCATATGGCCCAGATTCAATTGTTTTTCCAAAGAGTAAGTGTTACTGAATGTTTATCCCAATAAACTACGATGAATAGAAAAGCATGATATCGTATGCCAAAACATCTCCCAATGCAAAATAATGCTCACACGAATTTAATATTTATAGGATATTGAGAGAGAGAGAGAGAGAGAGAGAGAGAGAGAGAGAGAGAACTTAAACTGGTATATAGAAATGAAAATCTTGAGGTACATAGGTTACATTCTAGGATTTAACAAGTGTTAGAAGTTAAAGTGTGATATCCCAAAAGTCTAGGACTTGCTACATCAAAGCTGCAAGATTTTACAAATCCACACCACGGCTTCTATTGCTAGAATGAGAAGCAATAATTCACCTTATCATACAATAATGACAAGAATGACAGAGCAAATACATGCCTACCAAATATGCAAGAATTCCCTCAAGTCCAGCAGAAATTTGAAGTGGTATTTTAATATCATGGTTTAATATCAAAGCTGGTTTTGGGGTTTGAAAGAGTACTGTCGCAAGTATTTATATTTTCACCTATAAGATCGGCCCAAATGCATGTTTCCTTAATCCGAATGGAGGGATCAAAGTCTAGGAGGAAGAAAACTGCAGTGAAGTCACAATACCATGACCCCAGAAATTCTAGATAACCGAACTGGAAAGAACACTGAACTTATGCACAAACAACCCCAGAATTTATAGTGAACATAATCAAAACTTTGACAATAGCATTGCAATCCAGGTCATCTTGATTAAATAATCATATTATCAGTAAAAGATTCATCGAAATCACGGCCACACAAGAATTTCCTCCGTATCCATACGAATTTAGCAAGCAATGATATGAATATTAAAGATTTCGACGTGGTTCATCAAATCGTAAGCACTCCACCCATCCATCGCAAGAAACAAAGAACAAAGTGCCAAGCCAAATCGAACACATACACGTGGGTGTTTGTATGCATATACATATATGGGAATGTGCAAAGACGAAGCAAGTAGACAAGGTAGGATCGAGAATCAGACCTCCGTCTCCTTTGGCTCTCGTTGATCCAGCGCAACCCATAGTGTTCACTCGCGCCAATCAAAATCAGATAGAAAAGAGCTGACGCCGGCAATGCCTCCGCTGCGATACCCGCTACTTCAATTAGACTGAGATTGAGACTGAGATTGAGATTGAGATGTGAGAACTGATAGGGAAAAGGTTAAATTTGTGCTGTTGATGGAACTTGGGTTTGTCTCTCTGCGTTCCTTTTGAGGCATGTTTTTGCGTGCTCAGGAGAAGTCAGAAGTCTCTCTCACCTCCAGCTATTATACTTGCAATTCTTATTTCTATTTGCAGTACAGAAGACAGTTCAGGTTCTACGAGGAAGTGGACAGAGAGAGTTGGAAGTCCACTCCCTTTCCTTCCTTCTTTTGGCTTTTTTTTGTTTTTGTTTTTGTTTTGTTTTTTGTTTTTGTTTTCTTTTTAACAGAGTAAACTCTCATTCTGTCCCCCTATGTTTTTTTTTTTCATTATTTTTCCTTATTTACTCAGTAAATTAATTAATTATATATTTTTGTATTTGTTTTTCTACATTTTTTCTTATTATTATAAACATAAAAGCTCAAGTTTTATAACTGCTATATTAATTTTACACAACTATTTTTGGTCTAATTCTTTATTGCTTTATATTTTTATAAGCTTGCATAAGTTATATAGAAATAGAAGTGGCCAGACTTCTCCAAGTTTGGCTTGTTGACACCATGGCAAATTGAAATTTTATTAACAGAATAATATTTTTTAACAATAAAATAATTAAATAGTTTTTAGTTCATAATATTTTGTCATATATTAAAAAATAAATAAAACTCACTTCCTCAAGCTTCTATTTTATTTTTTTGAAGAATAACTTATCTTCTATAATCTATTATATAAATATTAATGAAGAAGTATTAGTCCATAACTGATATTTATTATTACATAAATTACATGTAATTATTAGATATTAGTGGGTATTGGTAGACAAATATTATTTACTAAAAAAATACTACTCTCATACTAATATTGGAACCAAAACATACGGCAAGAACCCATAGTGCATAAATAAGAAATCCAATAATAATATTGAGGTGTCTTGTGGTGTGATAAAATTTTCTCTACAGATTGGGAATGGGAATGTGAATTTTAAAAAATTATGTTGGGTAAGCATTTTGAATCCAATGAGCTAATCTAGATTTTATCAATTTCATTCCATCATTTACTTGCACAATTACTATATTACTCTCAATTTTTTAAAATAATGACAAAATTATATGTATTTATAATATCATATATTCGTATATTATACATTATATTATATATATTACATATATACTATTATATTATAATAAATTATATTATATGTTTATAATATAATAAATTTTGTACTTACATACATAATATATATTATGCATATCTATATATGTTGTGCAATACAATATAATATAATATATATAAATAAAATTTAATATTTTAATATTAGAATATAAAATTTTTTAATTTTTAATATCTTCTAATATATTAGAAGTTAAAATTTTCTAATATTAAAATTTATCTAATAAAGAGGATTTTCATTTTTGAATAATTTTTTGGTTTTCTTTTATACTTTTATTTTAACATACTAAACATATTAATGGAATAAGAATTTTTATTCTATCAATGTACACAAAATATACTCATAGAAATTTTCATTCCATTTCACTCATATTGTTATTTTTATTCCATTAAAAATCATTTTATCGTACTATACGTCACCTAAATACCAAGGTATCAACTGATGCAAGAGTTCACGATATAAACAATCGATTTATGAAGAACACTATCATGCACAATGTAAAATAGCTAACTCTTGATCAAGGAAAGAGTCCTCTTGAAGATCCTCCTTAGGGTCCTAACCTTGGTTGATATCAACACTTGCACTCTCATTTAACACATTTATTTAATATTAGTTTCTTTAATATTAGTTTCTGACTTACTAGGTTAAGAACTCTAGTATCTATTAAATTAATATTAATGTTATTACTTGATATTGATTCAACAGATATTAGGATCATAACTCAACAGATCAATTCTTCACATACATATAAACATCTAAAACAAGATCTCCCTCAATATTATACAGAGACATCTAACATGGGATCTTCTCATGTTCACCCAATTAGCATTTTTTTAATGCACCTGAGGTTTCCAATCCAAACAACAGTCCTCTCACACTAATGGTTTAACTCGTGCTAAGTTAAATATGTAGCTATAGTGTAAGTTAAGTGCATATGATCCGATCATGTTCAAAGCCTAAACCAAAGAATCCAGGATCATTATGCAATAATTAATCTAAATAAATAATAAAAATGGATATCTTATTTACTATCTATCTGATGTATGGTAAAAGTATATCCAAATACATAGCCACAACACTAAAAGATTCATACATATAAGTTTAAGCGTCCTTCCCCTAAAGATAGTCCGCATGTCACATGTCTATTGAAATTTTTTGTTATGCTAGTGGGTAAATGTCCACCCTCGAATTATGACTTACTAGAGAAGGATTGGGTAATGACTTAGAGATTTGTGGATCAATAGTTCAACAGCTCAATGCTCAAGATTGAGATTGAATGACCAACTATAGGCTCCCTTATTTATAAAATATCTAAATTAAGATCTAATTTTAATTTATAAATTAATCAATATTAAGTCTATTTAAAGCAATGTTTTAAAGCACATACATGATAGATGACTCTCATATGACCCACCATGATTTGACTAATCTCGAAGCCTCTAAAGACAAGCTTTTGGGAGCCCAAGTCCTTTTGCACGTCAACTCAACTCTG